ATAATTGTATTTATAGTGACTTTGTTATTAAGTTTTAAATTGAAACATAAATACTAATTTTAATTGAATAATTTAAATGAATTATAGGCAGTTCGAATATTTTAAAAGTACTAATTAGAAGTGGAAAAATAAATAATTAATAGTATATAAAGATTAAGGTTTAAATTATTTTATTTTGGTAGTTATAGATATTGTGAGTTGCATAATTCAAATTATAAATATTAACATAACAATTTAGTAAGTATTATACAGTTTTTTTTTTGTTTTTTTAATTAAATTTTTATATATATGGGATCTTTGTTAGGAAAATCACTCTTTGGGATTTTTCGAATAGGCTAATTCAGAAAGACTTAGACAGGCTACCAGTTTTTATTTATATTTAAGTTGTTTTTTATCTTTATCGATGCAATAGTTTATTTGACCAAACTATTGTATTAACAAAGTAAAAGATGATTTGTATATAAATAAGAACTGGTATTCTGGTCTAAGTCTTTCTGAATTGGCTTGTTTGGGAAGTCTTGAAGGGTGACTTTCTTAGCAAAGATTTATATACTAGAAACATAACAATTTAGTAGTTACATGCAGTGAAGGAAGTCTGAAAAAATAAGTTTGTTTTTTGAAAACAAAATTTTGAATTTATGTTTTTATTGGTAAAGTTTTAAAAAATTTTCTGTTTTTAAAATATTATTAATTATGTTAAATTTATATTTTTAGGATGAGAACATAATTTTTAAATATTATGTTTTTGAAAATATTTTTATGTTCTTGAGAATCAGATTTTAATACTGGTTACATGTATAGGATTTGAAATTTGAAGTCATGTGATATTTAAGTTTGTTTTTAAACATACCGTTACTATTGTAAATTGGGAGCGAATAGCGTTGCACGGTTTAGTTTCAATAGTTAACGCGATACTGGGTTTAATGATCTAATTATTATAAGGGTGAGTAATATCAGTGGGATATTTATACTTAGGTCGATGGTTGTTAATCAGAAGGGATGATACTTTAAGGGTGGGTCGGAATGATATGATATCTATAAGGATGGCGTTACTATTAAATGTACTACGTATAATAAAACTTATAGCTTAAAAGTCATCTAAACGTTGATCACACAGTCGTAATAATCGACACTAATTTAACTAAAGATTGATCCTATTATTAATCTAAACAATTATACTACCTGTGACGTTATTTCTTATATATCTCGTTAAGAATACGGTTCTTAATTACTCAGTGAAAGGTCTGTTCGGCTTCAATGCTTACTTCTTTTATGTTAATTAAGAGACCTAGCGTATTCTTTATAAATATAGAGAGAAACATGATGAGGAGTAGATTATTTAATTGGAAGTGTTTATACTTTCGGAATTTTAGGATTCGGGGTTTTTAAGGTAGTAGTGATTTATTTTATTAATAGATAACTTAATTATAACTTTATAACTGGTCCTTTTGGAAGATCGAGGAGGATTCATATTTATACAAAATTCATTCTTCAGGGAAGACTATACTAATGCTGATTTACCTTTTAACGCTAAGCTTATCCTTCTCGCTAGTGGTTAAGCTTATGTAGTATAAAGCTACATCGTTCACCTTTATGTTTATCGTTTTTATAATTTATCGTTATGGTTAAGCAATTAGTCTTAACTGCTTGCCTAATGTTTACATAGATTATTATCACAGTTCTTAAACGTAAATAAAGGTACGAGCAGTCTAATAAACAAATAACTATATAAAGTGTAATTGAAATAATGAAAAGGCTAAATAATAATAAAAATAAAAGATAATAGATAAATAAATAATAAAAGAAAAGAGAAAGAAATAATTTAACGAAAAACCCGTGACTTATAACGATACACAAATTTATATTCCAACACTACAAGCTAAAGCCGATAAACAAATTATGAGTATTGGTGATACAGATTGTTTAGTCAAATCTGACTTTGAAGTTAATTACAATAAACAGTATTTAGGTTCTGCATTTATATTCAGAAGGGAATTTTAATCAAGAAGTTCGGTTTTATTATTTGACAAAGTTCGAAGGATTCAGGTTCACAGTAAATAGATATTCTAGTTATCAATTGTAATTTTTACTAGCATAAAAATAGATCTGATATGAATACATATAATGATTTGGTACAAGTAATACTGTTATAAGTAAGGGATATATAATTATTATTGTGATTTATTATTGTGGTTTAGGTTGTAATAATGATGTATTTTGTATCTGATGTTATGATTATGTATCGTGGGATAATTATGAGTATACTTGAGTATCGCCGAAAAGAATATACACCTATCCGAAAATGGATTATTATGAAAATCATAAGATCTATTTTTAGATAGATGTCTTTTTTTTGGTTAGTATTTTTAGAATGAAAAGTCTGTTAGTTTTTTTAGTTTTTTTTTCAAAACTGAGTATGAAGTTTTAAAATGATTTATGCAATTTAGAATGGTTTTTCAGTATTAGTATTAGAAAGGTCAGTTTTCAATAAAGTATACGCAATAGGTATAACAAGATAAATTGACTTTTCTTTATATGATCATATTTAGACAAGAAAAATCTATGAATGATTTATTAAAGGGAAGAAAATTTTGCTATTTATTAAGTCAGTATTAGATAGGAATATTGTTAGTTCGTGTCAATATATAGATAATTATTAGTTAATATTAGATATGAGTTACTGTTAATTCGTACATGAGAATATGTTTTGATTAATAATCAAAAATCGAGTAGTAGGTGTTTAATTAGCAATATTACTTGAGATTAGAACTTCTTAGTAATTTTAGTATAACATATTTGAAGCTTACATGATGTAATATTTTATCATTGAGTCATAATTATTTAAAGATATGTCTTAACAAAATGTAATTTAATTTTTTTATGTTTATCAAAACATTATACCATATTATATCAATACTATTATGAAAATAAATCAAGTTTATTCAAATAAGAAGAAAGAATTAAATTTGATCATTGTTTGGGCAATAGGAGTTTATTCTATTGAGATCGAAAATTGCGAGTTAGAGATAGTTCTATTTGTTCCATTAAATGAAGATAAGAGAGATCCTTATATGCAGTTGATTTTTGTGAATAACAGGTATTATAGTATCAGTAGAAAAGTAGTATCTGGAAGTTTTAATAGCAAATTTAGATTAAAAGTAATATATATTTGATATACATGTTAATTAATAAGTAGTTATTTAGTTCTTGTTATATTAGATGATAGTCACATCATCAACTTTTCTCGCTATTAAGAGAGATCTTAGTTTAAACAGATGTCTATTGAAAGCTTCATTAGTAGATATTGCTTAAGATACACCAAAAGAAGTTACTGATAGGAATATAATAATTAATATTCTCATGATGGATTATGCCAGTCATCAAAGTTATACTTTTGTAATCAAGGCTATATTTCCAAATAATAATAGCCAGTTTAAGTATTTAAATAATTTTGTTTGGTCAGATAAATCTGTATTATTTGTTGTAGGATGGATAGAGATTATACAAGAAAAGTTATATATGTATACTATTAATATTTCTTTTATTAATGTTAGTTCAGCAGTTAAGAGAAAAGTTTTTAATCTGAAAAGTTCTCAATCCACACTAGCATCATATAGATCAATTCAATCTAGATTTTTAACTATTCATCAAAATACTACTAAAGAGACAGTTAAAGATGCTAAGATTGGGAGTTCAAATCAATGTAATAAGATGAGTAGACCAATGATAGATTCGACTATTACAGATTTTTACTCAAATAAATATGTAAAGATAGATGATAAAAAAGTCGATCATATTGAACATATTGATTTTTATAATAAAAGACTATTTACAGATAATTACAATAAAGAAGGTATGAATAAAAGAGCTGAATGTGAAAGAAATACTGTTCTTAATAATGAAATAATGAAGCATAGCTATGAGTGAATAAACAAAGGTAAGAGAAAGATGATATCGCCAGTAGTACATAATACTAGAAAAAGAGCCAAAAAGTCCAAAAGTACAAGTAATGATGAGAGTAGTAAATTTACAGTTTAACATTAATTATATTTGCTATTTGGATGTAAATATTATATTAATTTTTGCTGTACAAATTTATATATTTAAAAGAAATATTTATATATAATAAATAGGAATTATTTGTTTGTTTCATATATTTATTATTTATATAGTTAATCATAACAGGTTATAGTAATAATTCATATGTATATATTGAATTTTAATATTCAAGATATGATATTGTTTTTGGTCTCAGTATTCTATTGCTATTCAATATTAGTAGTTTATTCATATAATAGTCTCAGATTATATAATTTACATAATATTTATTTTTAGTTAGACTTGTTTTAGATTTTATTTGAACAATAATATTTTGATTCTAAAATTCAAGTTACTAAGTATAATACATTTATTTGAAATTAGTACATCAGATTTGATTTAATTTTATTTGGATTTTAAGTTTTTTATACTGTATAAGTAATGATAAATTTTAATAAAACTCACAAATAGGTTATATAAAGTAAAAAAAATAGTAATATCATGCTAATAAAAGTGATGAATATTAATAACATAAAGAATAAATTTCATAAATCTATTTAATGCAATTAATTGTATGATTATAAAGCAAGAGAAATAGAGTAATATTAGTATACAATAATTACTATTGTATAGTGTAGTAATATAGATTAAAGAAAATTTAAAAGTTTTTATTATACAGTATCTTAATAAATTACATGAAATCTAAGTTATATAGTTATGGTAATTTTAAATATTACAGTTTAATTTTTTAATAGTAGTAGATTATATTATATTAGACATCAGACTATTCATTTAATTGTTCAGTTATTTTGGAGCATTCTTCAAGATATTTTGTTCTTTTTTAAGATCAGAATCAATAGTCATGTTGAATTTAGATCGATTAAAAGGTCTAAGTATCATAATATCTTATAATTTTTGTACTCAAGATAATATGATATAAGTATCTGATTCAATATTACTATCATTTAAATCAATAATTACTTTTTTTAACATAGTATTTTGATATTTAAATTCTGTAAATATGAAGGCAGGAGTCACAGATAATTGTGTTCTCTAAAATTCTCTAGTTATACTTGATCTACTATTAATTTTATGAGTGTATTTGCATTTTTGTTTAACAGAATAAATTGGAACATAATTTTGTAGAAGACCTTCATATAATCCTGGAGTACAATTTAAGATTTTTATTATTATATACTTTAGAAGTTTGTTAAAAATAATGTTTTTTTTATTTACATCTGCATATTTTACAGTTCAAAATATATTGTCTTATATGATTTTATGAAAAATACCTTATGCACTATTTGCTATACTATTATTTATATAGATGTTAATCATCAGAGCTAATTTCATACCAATTAATAATGATAATATACTGCATATTGTATTTGATTTCGTATTCAATACACTAATGAATCTGTCTCATATATTACTATTAAGAGAATTATTTTTGTAAGTATTTTTTGCATAAGAATAATAAACTAGTTGATTATAGTCTCTGGCATGTTTAATTGTAGATTCAAGGTTTATTTGAACACATAAATTATTTTTTCTAACTAAAAATACAGTATCTCTTCATTCTAATAAATTTATTTCATTTTCTGTTATTACATGATTATAGAGAGTATTATACTGAATTGTTGTCAAATAGCCTTGATATAAGTTATCTAATATTTTTGCATATTCTGAATCAATTTGTCACATTTGCTTTTTTAGAATTATAGCATGTTTTACTAATAGCCACAACTATCTACTATTAGTATTCATTACTGTTTGTATTAAAAATGTTTAGTATGTATTTTTTATTTAAATTGTTCATTCACAAGAATATAATTTTTCTAATATTGCTAGATCAATATAGTAGTAAGTCTAGTACTGGTAGAAGTTGCATAAAGTCACTAGAAAATATTATATTTAAGCTAGCAAATAGTATTGTATTATCTTGATCAGATTTTGCTTTTTTGATATATGTATGAAATCATATTAGAAGATTTTACTCTATTATACCAGGAACGGAGTGATGAAATCACGAAGTATATAGTTATATGGCGATTTAAATGGCGTTCGTCCACAAAAACTCGTGAATGATTAGATAATGAATTGAATGTACTTAAATTTCACAATGTTATATCGTCATATAGATCTGGATTTTTATGTATTAAACTTGCTTTGTTACTGGTTTAAGTGTGAGAAATATGATCTTATCGTTTGAACTTTAACAGAATAATAACGATAAAACTAAAATTAAACCTTTTGTCTTCTGAAAATAGAAATAATTAAAGATGTATCACTTTACAATTATGTAATTTATAACATTATAGTTAGCCTATTTAATGTTTAAAATGAAAACATTTGTAGATAAATTATTATTTATACCAATTGCCCTTACTCGATATGTTACATATAAAGCTTTCTGTACCTTCTAAAACTATGTTATACTATTAATACTATGACTGATCTAGTATTTTGTTTAAAAAACATGTTATATACAATACCAGTATTCTACACTATTAATAAATATCAGCTTCCTTATTAAAGAATCAATATGGCATGTGAATTGCCTCTTAAATTAACTTAGCTTAGTTAGGGTTTGACTTAGGTTGAGTTAGTTTAAAAGCAATTCACGTGTAATATTAACTTGTTAGTAAATAGACAAATTAAATCATGTTGGATTAATGAACTTAATCGAATTGAAATTGTCACATTGGTGGTGACATTATAAGATACTGTATTACAAATTTTACAGGATTATAAGAACTCAGTCCCAGGTCTTACTTTAAGGTAAGTATAAATTGAGTGATTTAATTTCTGAAGTCAAAACGTATTACTATCAGGCATAATAGCATTTTTTTTTTTTTATATAAATGTATGTTTTGTTATCGTTACCAGTATTCTTATTTGGTAATAAATTTAATATACAAAAAATTTTTTGGATATATTAAATATTGACTAAAAAAAATGACAGAACAGTTATTAGATAATTTTAACCAATTAAGCTTCAAAAAAATAGCAGATAAAGGAAATATCAATGGAATATTTATGCTTAGTTATTATCATGAACATGGAATTGATGTCAAAAAGGATAAGTATAAGGCATTTACACACTATCAGAAATCTGTAGGATTGAATAATTTAATGGAATATTTCAAGTTGGCTTTTGTTATTATAATAGAATTGAAGTTAAAGTAAGTGAACACAGAGTATTTGGGAATTACTTAAAATCAGCTTAAAGGCAATTCTAATGGAATCTTTAAAACTGCTATTTGTTATTATTACAGAATTGGCATAGAAAAAAATGAAGACAAATTTATTGAATGGATTATAAAGTAAGTTAATAGTAATTAATCTTTATAGTTTTTGTTTAAATTATAAATATACTTACTTATATAATATATACTTTTATATAATTTTAATTATCAAGGAATAAGCTATATATAATTCGTTATTAGCCCATGAGTATAATCATCAAATTATGAATATAAAAATTAATTGAATTCAGTAGAATTAAGATTACGAACATTAAATAAATACTTATTTATTCATAATACTTATCTCTAAATACTTATTTTCAATTAATTACCTAATACCCTTC